ATAACAAGCTAATTACACAATTTACATAGAAATTCAAAGGACTGAGAATAACAAAAACAATTTTTCAAAAGAAGAATAACATTGGAACACTCACCTAATTTCATTAATTACTATAAAACTATAGTAATGAAGACAAGTGTGGCTTTGGCAAAAGATAGATAAATGGAGCAAAATAATGCAGAAATGGATTCTGAATACATGATACACTTTGATTTTAATAAAAGTGCCAGAGTGTCTCATTTGGGAAAGAAATATTGTTTCAATAAATGGTGTTTAATCAACTGGATAGGTGCATAAAAACAACAAAAAATGCTAAAATTCAGTTTTCATTTTTGTATTTTTATTCCTTTACCTGTTGGTTACTGAAGTTCCATGTTTTGTCTTATCATGTCCTCTTTCTCTCGGTCTCTGTCTTTCTCCATCCCTCTCTGGTTGGTTTGGCAGTCTTGTTTTCCACTAGCCAGTTTCTCCTGGCTATACAGATTTTGTTAGTCTCACAAAACTCTGAATTGTGCGATTGTTTCCCATTTTGTTATATTCTGTTCTTAACAATCATTACTTTTTTGTCTTTTCTTTTTTAGGTTCAATTTGTTGTTCTTAACTTCTGAAGAGAGATGCTTAGCTATCTGATTTTCATGCTTTATATTTTTCAGTATGCATGTTTAAAATTATAAATTTCCTTTTAGCATAACTTTAGCCCTATCTTTCAAGTTTTCATATGCATTTTGATTATATTTGCATTTTATTCATTCAAATTATTTTTAATTTCCATTGTGATCTCTTGAGTTATTTTTTCTTAATTAGCTAGTTTTCCAAAAATAATTGTGAATTTGTCTACTTGTAGTTCTATTCATTTGTCCTTGACATACTTCGAGGCTGTTATTAGGCACATATAAATTTAGAACTGTTCACTCTTTAGGAAGAATGAGGAGTTAAACATTTTCATTTATTAAAATTTACATGGGACTTATTTTTTCTTCTGCATCCTTATTTTTTAGGTCTTTGGAAAATTGTATGTGTTTGTCATATAGAGATGACAGACTTCATCCTTAACTCATAAGGGCCATTGTTGATTATATTTGCATTTTATTCATTCAAATTATTTTAAATTTCCATTGTGATTTCTTGAGTTATTTTTTCTTAATTAGCCGGTTGCTTGATTGCTACTTTTATACTCTTGCCCTTAGTTTCTTTTTTTTTTTATTAAGAAAAATTTAAAACCAGACAAGAATATGCAGTTTACTTTTTTTGTGGTATTAGGGCCTCATGCATGCTAGGCAAGTGATTTACTACTGAGCTACATCCCCAGCCCTAGCCCTCAGTTTCTTTAAACAACAAGATTATTCTATGTCCTGAGTCTGTGAATTCTCATTCTTGCAGTTTCGAGATTTAAGTCTTTTTTGGTGTTTCTACTCTCATTCGTGTTGCTTGTCTTATGCCCTTGGTGAACCTAGACTGTATCTTATTACTTGATCTTCATCTGTGGGACTCCTGAAGGCTTACATTTGGATGCTTTCTTCCAGAAACTGCTTGTATCTGCTTCTGCGGATGCCAGGGCATAATTCTAGTCTGTTTCAAGGATTTCAGCTCAATGTGAGAATTCTTGTTTTAGTTTACAACCTCATTGTTGCTCACACCTTCTCTGAGTTCCAGGAGATTCCATTCCTCCTTGCCATCCAAATTTTTCAGCTCCTGGACAGCTGCAAACAACATTTTCTTGGGGAGAGAGCTTATGTGGAAAATCCTTATGTTTTCTTGCTGATCTAGCAATGTGCTAGAAATTTGTTTGGCTGCAGAAGAAACCTAGATCTCCTAGTCCATCATTTTGAAAGGGTAACAATGATGTATGGTATTGACTTACTTCTGTGGGACAAAGATGTCATATCATTGCTGGGTCAGCACAGAAGAATAAATGAGGTGTCATAGTGTGATTTATATTACATCATTATCTTTTCACTGCTATATGTCAATTGATGGAGACAAGTGATATGTATAATCCTCAAGTATACATAAACTTTAATTTGAAGTATAAAATATATATTATTTATCTTTAAGCCGGATAGAAGGTACTACATACTTTTTTCATTGGCACTTTGTAAAGGAATACATAGTACTTGTATTTTCCTCATATTTTGACTTTTTAAAAAATTAAGAGGTCAAATAACTGAGTTATTAAGTTAAATGTTCAAGTGTTTTGAATATATTATTTTTATCTTTTATGCACATCATAGACCATGATATTTGGCATGAATTTGTGACATTAAACATATAAACATATAGCTGTCTACATGCACATATCCAGATGTGCACCTAATACCGTGGGGTGTGTCTATACACATATAACCATCTCTATATGGTATTTTGCAGAATATTTGAATCTGGGTCACACCTTTGATTTTCCTTCAGTTGATGGTATATTACAAAATAAAAGGAATTATTTTTTTAATTAAAATTTTTGATTAGTAAAATCTAGAGGATGATAAGTTGGTGGTTCTTATTGGTTGATTTTATCTCCCAAGGGGCATTTTTGGTTGTCACACTCGTAATGGCAGAGGTGATCCTGTCATCTAGTATGCAGAGACCAGAAATGGTGCTCCACATCTTATAATGGGAAGGTCAGCCCCACAGCAAAGATTGACCCGGCTTCCAATGTTGGCGGTGTCGAAAATGAGAAGCTTCTGGCTGAGACCAAGGTGGCAGCCATAGCAGACGGGCTCCCCAGACACTTTCATTTTCTTTCTTCTAATCTTCTTTCTTACCTTTCCCTGAAGATGATTTTCTGCATCAGTCTGGTATTGCAAAAAACGTTACATGCTTCAGTTAAATGGGCCTTCCCTTTTATGTTTTCTTTTTCAACATTTAACTGTGCTGTTTAACTTTTTAAAAAAATTGAAAATGCAACTTTCTTGAAAAACCTTCTCTATGGAGTGGCATTTCATTATGTACAATCCAACCGTGCCCTTACACACAGATCTTAAAATTTAAAAATTGCCTTCTATCCAAATTTAAATTTCATGTGGTCATTAACCCAAATCAGAGAGGAATTCCTGCCTCTGCTTTTGTGTTTTATTTTTCCTCTGTGAATCTTCAGTATGCATATATGATAGTAAATTATTTATAGATGGTGTATTTGAGTCTGATCTTTTATAAGAAACCAGAATCTGGCCCTACCTTATGCTTCCTTTATTTTAATTTGAAAGACATTTTTAAAAACTCTGGGTGTCTTCTCACTTTTTAAATTTATTTTTTATTTATTTAATTTTAAATTATTTTTATTTGTTTTAGTTAGTTATACATGACAAAGGAATGCATTTATGCACTTTGACATATCATACATAGATGGGATATAATTTCTCATTTTTCTGAGTGTACATGTTGTAGAATCATATTGGTCAAGCAGTCACATATATTCATAAAGTAATAATGTCTGTTTTATTCTACTGTCTTTCCTATCCCCACATCCCCTCTCCTCTCCTCCCTTCAATTCCCTTTACCTAATCTAAAGTAATGCTATTCTTCCCTAGTGCCCCCTGCCTTATTGTGAATTAGCATCCACCTATTAGAGAAAACATTCCATCTTTAGTTTTTGGGGGATTGGCTTACTTCAATTGGCATGATATTCTCCAACTCCATCTATTTACTGGCAAATGCCATAATTTCTCTCTTCTTTAAAACTGAGTAATATTCCATTGAGTATATATGCCACATTTTTTTTATCCATTCATCTATTGAAGGGCATCTGGGTTGGTTCCACAGTCTTGTTATTGTGAATTGTGCTGCTATGAACATCGATGTGGCAGTATCCCTGTAGTACGCTCTTTTAAGGTCTTCAGGGAATAGTCCGAGAAGGGCAATAGCAGGGTCAAGTGGTGGTTTCATTCCCAGCTTTCCCAGGAATCTCCATACTGCTTTCCAAATTGGCCACACCAATTTGCAGTCCCACCAGCAATGTACAAGAGTACGCTTTTCCCCACATCCTGGCCAGCACTTGTTGTTGTTTGACTTCATAATGGCTGCCAATCTTACTGGAGTGAGATGGTATCTTAGGGTGGTTTTGATTTGCATTTCTAGGAGTCTTCTTAAGAAAGTCATATCCTAGGCTTACATTGTGAAGATTAGGATCTATGTTTTTTCTTCTGTTAGTCTCTGTTCTAGGGCCCAAATCTTTGACACATATTGAGTTAAGTTTTGTGCATGATGAGAGAGTTTTAATTTCATTTGCTACATATGGATTTCCAGTTTTGCCAGCACCATTTGTTGAATAGGCTATCTTTTCTCTAGTGAATGGTTTTGGCACCTTTTTCTAGTACGATATAACCATATTTTTGTGGATTTCTCTCTGTTTCCTCTATTCTCTACCATCGGTCTACAAGTCTATTTGGTGCCAACACTATGCCATTTTTGTTACTATAGCTCTATATAGATTATAGTTTAAGATCTGGTCTTATGATGCTTCTTGCTTTCCTTTTCTTACTAAGGATTATTTTAGCTATTCTGGGTCTCTTATTTTTCCAAATAAATTTCATGATTGCTTTTTCTATTTCTATGGAGAGTATAATTGGTATTTTAATAGGAATTGCATTAAATCTGTATAATGCTTTTGGTAGTTTGCCATTTTTGACAATATTAATTCTGCCTATCCAGGAGTATGGGAGATTTTTCCATCTTCTGAGGTTTTCTTCAATTTCTTTCTTTATTGTTCTGTAGTTTTCATTGTAGATGTCTTTCACATCTTTTGTTAGATTGATTCCCAGGTATTTATTTTTATTTTTTTGAGGTCATTGTGAATGGGGTAGTTTTCCTAATTTCTCTTGCAGTCGATTCATCGCTGATGTATAGGAATGTGTTTGATTTATGGGTATTGATTTTATATTCTGCTACTTTGCTGAATTCATTTATTATTTCTAAAAGTTTTCTGGTGGAACTTTTTGGATCTTCTAGATATAGAATCATGTCTTTTCACTTTTAAACTGATTCTCACCACACATTCTTTCTTCCAGGCATTGGCTCATCTCCACTTAATAGAGTATGTCGGAGAACAGACTGCTTTGCTAATAAAGGTACATTAAATGCTGCAGTAGAATGTGCTCCAGTCCCTGTTCTTTGATTTTGTAAAAAGAAAAAAAAACTGGTAAGAATAGGTCACATTAATTATGTAAAAAGCACAGCAGGGAAACTATTTTATCCTAGGTAGCCTAGAGATGAAGGGAGATTATTTTTTTCCCCAAAGAATATATAATTACAGATGCCTGCTATTTTGCTTTTAGTCTTTAGTTAAAACCTGTCGAGAAGGAGAGCAGTGAACAGTCAGTGGATGCTGCACAGGTCCCCGTCCCAGGTCCCTGCTGGTGGGACCAGTGTGTGGAACCATCAAATTGTGGTGAGGAGGGGACTTCACTCTGCCCATTCCTCCCACGGGGTTAGTGGGCTGGGAATTGCTCTCCTTAGTTACTTTTAGAAACCAGCTGAGATTCCTGTGCAGTTGTGGCCCTGGTTTGCACTCCTGGGTTTGTTTCTGCCACATGTTAAGAAGAAGGATTGGTCTTTTCTGAGTCTCACTGTCAAAGGATCAGATCCTGAGTGTGTGATCTCACAGTGCAGCTGTTGATATACAGCACTGTTATTATCTGCTCCTTCCAGATGGTTCCAGAGGATAGGCGCCTTGCAGCTGCCATCGTCCTAGTAGTATGGGTCTCGGCCTTGGCGTCATCTTTGATTGACAACATTCCGTTCACTGCTACCATGGTGAGTTGCACATTTCTGTGGGCTTGAGGACTTGCCTTCCGCCTGTGCACACTCTGGGTGCCCTTCTTTCCTAGGAAGGCAGAGTACAAAATCAGCCCTTTCCCACAATCATGGTCAAGATTATAAAATGTGGGAAGAGCCAGGGCAGCTGGGCAGGGAGCTCTGAGAGCCCAGATGGCAGGCTGGGAATCAAGGGTCTGCAACTAGAGTGAACAGTATACCATCATGGTTGGCTACTTTAGGGTTAACCCACCCAAGATCTGCTGCCCCTCTCACAAGACTGTCTTTTTTTTTTTAAGAAAAATTTGAGACACCAAGACAATTTCATCTATATTTCCTATGAACATAGAAGCTATTCTAATCAGCTGTGTGACTTTGGGTGCTTGTCTTCGGCAGGAGTTTTAAGTTTCTTTGTGGTCTTGACCCCCATCCAAGACCAGAAGTACCCACCGCAAGCCTCTTATAGGGCGGATGAGCCCTACTCCTAGGGTAGTTTCTGTGTCATTGATTCTGAATTCTGGTGCGACAAAGCAGGATCAGAGGTTGCATATAAGAACTGGGGTCCTGTCACAAACACCTCAGGGCCCAGGAGTGCCGGGCACAGGGACACAAGCCTGGTGAACATTCCTCATGGCAGGGTACTAGATGGGGGAGTCCTCTCTGGTGTTCTTGTGACTGGGCCCCCTCTGTTCCCCAGTTCTTGTCAGTGGGCTCCCAAGACACTTTACCAGCCCGTGCATATTGGGAACAGTGAGACCCTAAGGGGAGAGCAGGAAGTCTGGCAGTGTGAGGAGGGGGTGGGCTAGGCTTACGGTGGCTTCTCTAAGTAGGACCCACCTTGAGTGGACTTGGTAATCTGCATCGCTCCCAGTCTGGGATTCACAGTTTCTGTCTAGAGATCTGGCTACTGTTCTCCTTCTGAGGCTAGAGGTCAGTAATGCTGAACTAACTCTGTGGCTATTGTGATTTCTTCATGAATTGTCAAGGGAGAGATATCACATAGCTACTGTCACATGTCCCAGTTCCAGGAGAAAAATCAAAGTGCAGAACAATGTTTAGAGTAATTGCTTTCTGTGTAAGAAGGGGGGGAGAATACGAACACACACACGCGCGCGCACACACACACACACACACACACACACACACACCACTGAAGGGTAAACAAAGCCAACTTTTTAAAATGCGGACTTGAACTCCTGATTTAAAAGACAGAAGTTGGCAGATTCAACAACAAACAAACCCCTAAAACAAAAACAACAAGACCCAACTGTACACTCTTTAGGAGAAACACTTAAAATATAAAGACAAAGACAAGTTGAAAGGATATAAAAATAACAGGCAAAACAAACTTTAAGAGTAACGCTTGAGATCAAGAAGGGCATGGCGTTCCAACAAAAGGGTCAGTTCACTAAGAACACATAACAGTGCTCACTATGCATGCACTTCATTACATAGTTCCCAGGCACCAAATCAAAAATCAACAGAACTGATTTTCAGCACAGTTATCTTTAGGGGATAGGTCTCTCATTTGTCACTTTATTCATAGAGTGCCTGGAGTTGGAAGCTGTCTTTCCTGAGCCTACTGTTTTGAAATTTTAAGCCTTCCCATGCTGTCAATCATAACGAGTGCACTTTCTGCTTTTAATCACCCCATAATATCCAAGTACCATGGCCACTGCATAAAACAAATGCCTTGCCTTCAACCTGTGCCTTATCCAAATGAACCACAGGTAAAAGGTTCAAAATTTCAGTGCCATTGTTATCACATACACACTTCTTGTCACTAATAATCAGGTCCTCAGTCTTCAACTGGTGAGTAGTGAGCTCCACAATTCTGTTCCAACCATCTGCTTTCTAGGGCCACAAATATTATCAACTGTCTTAGTTTTGAGCTTTCCAGACAGACAAGGCCGAGGCAATCCCAAGGAGCTGCAATGTGAGAAGATGGAGAGTTAGCCAGGGAAGAGGGAGGGTGAACTGGGGAAGTCATTTGCAGCTCATCTCTCTGGGCAGATTGGTACTATTTGCTGCTCAGCATAGTCTGTCTAGGAGAGGAGAAGAGAATTGATCAACTGTCTCACGTTTCCATTGGTAAGAGCTTGGTCTTGGGGTTGTACTTTTGGGGACATCTATTGGGGACCTGTGTTGTGTCCCACCTCAGCATCAGCAGGTAAGCCTTCTGGACATGAAGGAGAATCACATAGTATGGAGGAAAAGTGCCATCAAAGTGTGCATGTGCTGGTGATCAGAGCCCATGAAGAACTACCTCAGAATAGTGCCTGGGAGGAGCCTAGGGTATTTATAAAACTCAAACCAATGTACTTAGATGTGAAATGTTGAGTGTTGTCTCCCTAAAGTATGGAAGAAGACAAAACTGTCTGTGGGCACCATTTCTATCAACCATCCCAGAGGTCAGTGGCAGTGCCGTGAACCCAGAGAAGAAATAAGAACTACAAGGACTAGAGAGGAAGAAATAAAACTGTTGCTCTTTACAGAGAGTATGAATCTGTGTGCTTACCTCAAAGGGATTTATCAATTGAGAATTAAAATTATTCGTTCCTTTATCAGGGACTCTGGAGTTAAAAGTCAGTTAAGAATCAGCCGTATATTTTATCAGGAACAATAAACTAATAGAAAATGAAATTTTTGAAATAAGTGTAATTTATAACAACATCAGAAAGGAAAAAGAATAAAAGAAAAAAAAGAGGGTCCCAGTTTTGGCTCAGTGGGCTCCAACTCTTTTGACACTATTGAGGCTTCTCTTAAACGAGTCTTTAACCCAGAGACAAGATCAGCTTATGCAATTATCCTGTTCCCAGATAAAGCAAAGTGCTCTAGCCATGCAAGGCTGGGTGGTGTGGTCACAGAATCCAGGTTTTGGTCAGTCTGTTAATCAGATTTTGGAACTGTGACAAAATACGGGAGAAAAATCAGCTTAAAAGGAAAGAGATAGAAGTCAAATTATCTCTGTTTGCTGATAACATGATCTATACTTAGAAGACTCGAAAAACTCCACCTGAAGACTGAAGAAGAGCTGCTAAACAAATTCAGCAAAGTAGCAAGATACAAGATAAACATACAAAAATCAATAGCTTTCTTATACTCCTGTAATGAATCCACTGAGAAAGAAATCAGGAAAATAATTCCATTTATAATAGTCCCCAAACAGTTGGAAATAAATCTAACTAAAGAAGTGAAAGAACTCTGTAGTGAAAAATTGTAGAATGCTGAAGAAATAAATTGAAGAAGACCTCAGAAGACGGAAAGATCTAGAATGTTCCTGGATTGGCAGAATTAATATTGTAAAAATGTTCATATTACCTAAAGTGAGCTACATATACAATTCAATCCCCATCAAAATATGAATGACATTTTCACAGATGTAAAAGAAAAAAATCCTAACATTATATGGATCCAGTTGTGGTGGTGCACACCTGTAATCCCAGCTACTCAGGAGGTTGAGGCAGGAGGATTGCAAGTTTGAGGTCAGCCTTGGCAACTTAGTGAGACACTGTCTCACAATTGAAAAGCAAAACTCAGAAAACAGAGTCACTGTGTTAAATTTTCAATACCACCCCTCCCCATACTTCCAAATTCATTGGAAGAATGAAAGACCTAGAGTAGCCAAAGCAATACTAAGCAAGAAAAGTGAGACTGGAGGCATCACGATATTGGATCTCAGACCATCCTGGTAACAAAAGGTTATAGAAGTGTAGTAACAAAACTCCATGGTATTGGCATGGCATAAAAAAAGACATGAAGACCGAAAGAGTAGAATAAAAGACACAGAGACAAATCCATATTGATGTAGTCATTAAATCCTTGACAAAGCTACCAAAATCATACACTGGAGAAAAGATAGCCTTTTAAATAAATGGTACTAGTGAAACTGGATACCCATATGTAGAAGAATAAAACTGTATCTTTATCTCTCACCATTATGGTTGGAACATGAGGTCTTCCCCCAAAAGCTCCTGTGTTCATGTAGCAGGTGAAATCATTGGATTAGGAGAGTTGTGACCTAATTTGTGGATTAACCCATCTGATAAGTTAATAATTTGAATGGACTAACTGGGTGGTAACTCTAGGCAGATAGGGGGTGATGGAAACAGTGGGTCACTGGGGGTGTGCCTTTGGGGTTTATATTTTGTCCTTCGTACCTCACACACACTCTCTCTCTCTGCATCTGGCTGCCATGAGGTGACAGCATTCTTCCTCCATGCCCTTCTGTCATGATGCTCTGCCTCATCTCAGACCCAGAGCAATGGACTTGGCTGATTGTGACTGAGCCTTTGAAATTATGAGCTCAAAATAAACTTTTTCTCCTCTAAGTTGTTCTGATCAGGTGTTTTGATCCCAGCAATGAAAACCTAACTATCACTTTCACCACGCACAAAAATTAACGGCAAAGTGGATCAAATATCTAGGAATTAGACCAGAAATACTACAACTGCTAGAAGAAAACATAGGGTCAACACTCCAACATATTGATTCAGGGACTCCCAAATCTCAAGAAATAAAATAAAGAATCAATAAATGAAATGGCACTAAAAAAAAAAAAACAACTTCTACACAGCAAAGATAACATGTAAGAGTGTAAAAGGAGCCTACAGAATGGGAGAAAATCTTTGCCAATTACTCTTCCACCAGGGGATTAATATCCAGATACATAAAGAACTCAAAAACTAAAAACCCCAAACACAAATATTAATATATGTGATGGAGTTTTACTCAGCCATGTAAAAGAATAAAATTAAGATATTTACTAGTAAAATGGATGGAACTTGAGAGAGTATCATGCTGAGTGAAATATTGCAGACTCAGAAAGTCAAAGACTGAATATTTTCACTCCTTTGCGAAAGCAAGAGAGAGATTTATAAAAAGCAGGACAGAGAGAGAATAAAATGAAAATAAAAAGAATAGTAGAGAAAGGGGATAGAGGGGTGAGGCAGAGAGGTGAGTAAGGGGAGCACTACAGAATGAAATCGACCAACTTATGC